GGGCCAGAATGTGTAGACAAAAGGGATTTTGAAGGGTTTGAGGCTAACCCTGCCAATCCTATGCCAGTTGAGTAAACCATTGTGGCATTGAGGAAGTCCTTGGGGTTGGAGGTTAGTGGGGAGGATGTGGAAGAGTTGGTGAAGGAGGACAATGACGAACTAACCACTGATGAGCTGCTAGATCATCTTCAACAGCAAGAGGCCAGACCTGAGGAAACTGCTTTGGAGGAGGGGGATAGAGAAATTGAAGAAATTGCCTACTTCACAGATTAAAGAAATGTGTACAATGTGGACAAAGGTGAAAACCTTTATGGATGACAATCACCCTCACACAGCTATTGCAAGCTGTGCTGGTTACTATTACAATGACAATGTTGTGAACCACTTTAGAAAAGTCATAAAGGAACGAGAGGTACAGGCCTCTATGGACAGATATGTTGTGCGACAGAAGTCCAGTGACTCTCAAGCTGGTCCTAGTGGCATTAAAAGAAGAAAGGAAGTAACCCCAGAAAAGGACTTGCTACCTCAAGTCCTAATGGAAGGGGATTCCCCTTCTAAACAATAAGTTCGACACTCTCCCCTCCTCCTATCCCATCAATCATCACCAGATCTTCATTAAAGGTAAGTGTCATGTATTCTATTGTTAGTAGAGTACTACAAACTGTGCATGTCTTCTTCAGTTTGTGTGCATTAAACTTAATATTTCATGTGGTAAATTTTTTTTTTTCATACTTTTGGGTGTCTTGCACAGGATTAATGTTTCTTATGGGGAAAATTAATTCGCCTTCCGATAATTTTGGTATATGATGAGCTCTCAGGAACGGATTAATATCGTATACCGGGGGTCCACTGTATATACTCTAAAATTAATAAAATATGTCATTCGTGTAGTGGTGTCGGCGGTGGGCGAGAGTTTGTCTGGAGACCGGGCAAACTACTTCATGAATAATTTCGCTAATATCATCTATACGGCTTATTTATATATCGCAGTCCATCTAATATGACATAAACAATATAAATAACACAGTAACATGATATATACTCTAAAATGAATAAAATATGTCATTATGTAACAGGTGAAGGCGGCCACAACCGCTCCCTCTTTGTTGTGGTAAACACTGCCATCTAGTGATGGCCTTTTGGCCTGGTTGGTAGGTAAGACACATAGGCAACAGTTAGGCAACTTTATTCCAAAATGTTTTGCCTGCACAGTAGGCTTCTTCAGTCGAATACAGATAGTAGGCAGGAACATTAGAGATGTGAAGACGATGTAATCAGTCCATCACTCTTAAAGTCGTAGATTTGAGGTTGTCAGTCCCTCAGCCTGGAGAAGTTCAGTTCCATAGTCAGGAACTATCTGAAGATCAAGCGACAGTGCGGAGACTTAAATACTGTCGGAAGGAGAGGTGCAGAGTAGTAGTAGTGAGAAAGCAGCCACTGAGAGGACACGTCCCTCTCAGATCAAACATTTCTCACTTGAAAAAGTTGTCCAAGGTGTTTTCTGTACCAAGATGCCATTGTGTTGCAGTGTCTGACAGGATGAATATCAAAATGGTATACAATACCGACAGGTTGGTAGGTAAGACACATAGGCAACAGTTAGGCCTGTGTGTCTAACCTATGTTGCCTAACTGTTGCCTATGTGTCTTACCTACCAACCTGTCGGTATTGTATACCATTTTGATATTCGGCCTTTTGGCCTTTTGAAGTCGTCTATTATTATAATTATTATATGTAGTACATTATTATTATATTATTATTCATATATTATTATTGTGTTATATTATACTATTCCTAGGTAGTAGGTTGGTAGACAGCAACCGCCCAGGGAGGTCCTACTGTCCTGCCAAGTGAGTGTAAAATGAAAGCCTGTAATTATTTTACATGATGGTAGGATTACTGGTGTCCATTTTTCTGTCTCATAAACATGCAAGGTTTCAGGTACGTCTTGCTACTTCTACTTACACTTAGGTCACACTACACATACATGTACAAGCATATATATACACACCCCTCTGGGTTTTGTTCTATTTTCTTACTAGTTCTTGTTCTTGTTTATTTCCTCTTATCTCCATGGGGAAGTGGAACAGAATTCTCCTCCGTAAGCCATGCGTGTTGTAAGAGGCGACTAAAATGCCAGGAGCAAGGGGCTAGTAACCCCTTCTCCTGTATAAATTACTAAATTTAAAAAGAGAAACTTTAGTTTTTCTTTTTGGGCCATCCTGTCTCGGTGGGATACGGCCGGGTTGTTGAAAGAAAGAAAGATTATACTATTATTATACGTATTATTATTATACATGTTATTATACATCATTATTATTATTATTATTTTTTTTTTCAACAAGTCGGCCGTCTCCCACCGAGGCAGGGTGACCCAAAAAAGAAAGAAAATCCCCAAAAAGAAAATACTTTCATCATCATTCAACACTTTCACCACACTCACACATAATCACTGTTTTTGCAGAGGTGCTCAGAATGCAACAGTTTAGAAGCATATATGTATAAAGATACACAACATATCCCTCCAAACTGCCAATATCCCAAACCCCTCCTTTAAAGTGCAGGCATTGTACTTCCCATTTCCAGGACTCAAGTCCGACTATATGAAAATATTATTATTATATAAATAATTTGTAATTTTTATTCACACAAAAAATATAAGATTTACTGTTATTCCTTATTGCAATAATTGTATAAATAATGTCAACCCATTCACGACTGCATATTGGAATGGACAGTGACATCATTTGTTTACTCTGAAACAGCCAAGCAATGGACCATTTCTCCTAGGTTGAGCTCTATTTCAAGGTACTTTTTGTCATGAAAGCAATCAAAATCCTATCTATTTCTGTAATATATCTTCCATTCTCTCAAATGAGACCAAAAAAACGAGAATACAACCATAAAAACCATTCGAAATTACCGCTAAGGAGTGGATAATTGCTGAGAAGTGAACTCCATTATTTATGCTTAGATTTCTTTCATTTTTGGTGTATGTTAAGAAGCATCTTTCCAACATACATTGCCCAAGTTTCAATAAGATAGTCCAACAAACAAATGAGATACAATTCCCAAGCTCAAGAGCAAGAGCTAGAGCTCCTCACCAGTATCTAGGAACCTGCCTTGAGGTCTGCTCGCTGTGGAAATTTTGCTCGTGTATGGAAGCAAAAAATCGACCCATCGACTGCTCGTATTTGGAAAAACTCGCATGTGGACACGCTCGCAAGTAGAGGTTCCATTGTATTGCTGTAAGTACTATTATAGGTCACCCCAGTATTTATCGAGCCCACTAAGAAGTCATATGCCTCTTTTTTATTTATCTGTCTTATCTCTTTAAAACTCCACAGATTTCTAATTAGGAGCCCCACTTTTCCATCTTCCCTATTTCCAGTTTTTGCTATCCTTTGATATCCAGCTGGAAAAATGGCATTTGATATATTGATCAGCTTTGTCTCTGTGATGGCTATGATGTCTGGATTTGTCTCAGCCATTCATTCCTTCATCTAGTTACTCTTGCTGAATAACCCATCTGCTTTGGTGCACCACACTCTTAGCTTACTTTCCCTTATCACAAACAGGTTTGCATTGTCTACTCACTCTGCATAATACTCACCCAACAGTAGTGTGGGAGGTTGGGCTGGGGTTGGTGTGTGGCCAGGGGTAGAATTTTATGTGGGGAAGGGGGATGGGTGAGGAGTTGGAGTTAGTGTTGCTGGGAAAATGGGGGGGGGGGGGTGGGTCCAGAGTTAGGCCAACTGAGAAAGGGGTTGGGGTTGCATCTTGAGGAGTTCTGCGAGTTTGAGTGCTCCCTCCTTTTGGCCCCATGTCTGCTATTCTCCGTGCTTGACAGGACTTCACATATACAATTAGTTGTTCTCCCTGTTAGTGTCCTGTCCTAATACACATAGACACTTGTATTCTCATGTGGTCTTTAGCCATACTTTTCACTGTAATATCCTGTCCTAAGGAATATGGAACCAGAAAGCTAATTTGATCAAGAGCTTGGGAGAATCTTTCAACCCTATGAAAATTTGGCACCTGTGTAATCTCCTCTTGTCCTCCAATGCACGCTATTATTGATATAGCCTCATGTTCCTCATCTTTTTATCTCCTACTACCCGGGCCTTCTTCAGCTTCGTAAGTCTAGACCATGATTGCTCTCCCCCCTCTTCTTCTCATTGTCTTTTTCTTAAGATATCTGTCAGTTTTTACTATTTCCTTTACAGTCTCTTATCACCTCCTTGCCTTCAGTGAGAGTGCCCAGATGCTGAAAAAAACAGATAAAAAAAGGAATCTTCTGTGCTCTTTGGTAAATTGAATAATTAAGAAAAAGGTGTTTTACTGTCAATGAAACTTGACAAGCTCCACGGAGAGGCGAGTGTACATCAAAACAAAGGGTGCATCATGGTGGGATGGTGCTTTCTATATACAAAATGATGTGGGGACAAATTGCTGTAGGTCTCAAAGAGCCACACCAATCTTTGGTTAATCATGTTCCAGTAATTTGCAAATAGTGCTAGTAAGATTTGCAGGTTTGAAGTGGAGTGGGTCACACCCCCAACACTTGATTTTTTAAAAGGAAAGACAACTGTGAAATTACCACTTCAAGGAGAAGGCTTCCTCAGACAAGAACCAATTAAAGAGGTGTAACAGGAAGTCAAGTGCCAAAAGATGTAAGTGTGGAAGCATGGGAAGATGTATATCAACAAGCCCAGCTGATATTACCTGACAATACTAAAGTAATTTTAAAAGCAAAGTCAAAATTTGTAATTATTTTCACCAGGAAAAGGAATGAATCTATTGTGGTCATATAGCAGTTGGGGAATGGAAGGCATTCAGGTTTGATCCAATGAAGGGAAAGTAAGTTCAGTTCCTTAAATCAAGAGCCCTTACCAGCATCAAGGTACTAACCTTGAAAGGAGCACACTCAAAAACTAAATAATTACATTAAATTGTTATTAATCGTGTATGTCTCCGAAATGTGTCTGGAGGTACTGTACCTTTTACTGGCATGATTGTGGAGGTTATGTAAGCAATACATCAATTCGTATGTTTGTTCTGCAGATATTACAGGCTCTTCACTCTTCAGTAATGGCAGAGCATCTAAAAGTAACACTGGCCAGAAGCTGAAAATGTAAACAGAAAGTAAATATTCCACTAAAATTGTACACATCTTTAACTGTCCACTCCCAGTTTAGGGTAGAACAGGTACAGGATGTACATGTTCAATTCTTACTAGTATAGGGAAACAATGTGCAGAATGAGCTTTCATTAGGGCTATGTTTTCCTTGTGGCTTGATAGGCATGAGCAAAACATAGCCCCCCGTAAAAGCTTGTCCTACATATTGTTTCTATGCTTCAAAAACACGTATATAAGAATAATTTAAATCACAAAATGAGTGCATTCTATGATTTACAAAGCACTAGAACTGTTTTGTTATTTAATGTTTTTTATATAAAAAGTTACATCATTATTAATTTGCTCCTATTATTATTTATTTTCCTCTTCTAATATTTTCATTTATATAGAGTACAGTAGGACCTCTGTATCCATGGTTTTAGTTATCCGGGGTTTACTGTGACCCAAAAATAACCCTTAATTTTGCTTAATAATGGTACTGAAGTGCAAAAGTAGTGATTATGGCAGTTCTTATAAGCCTAAGAGAAGCCCTGAAGTGCATCCCATCAGTGAAAAACTTCTAATTCTCCACTTATTGTGTGTAATTTATCAATTAAACTTTTATCATAGGTATGTAACGAAAAATGGCACATGTAGGGTTTGCTACTATCTGTGGTTTCAGGTATCCGTGGCAGGTCTTGGAATGTATCCCCTGTGGATAAAGGTCCTATTGTACTTTGCAATCAAAATGTGTGTCAACACTGCAACCACATACAGCTGCATAGTTTCTCAAATTACTTTAATATCACATCATTATTATTATTATTTAACACCAGCTGTCTCCGCCAAGGCAGGGTGACCTGAAAAAGAAGAAACACTTTCACCATCACTCACCCCCCATCAATGTCTTGCCAGAGACATGCCAATACTACAGTTTAGATGCCCCTCCAAATGGCAAATAACCCCACCCATCCTTCAGAGTGCAGGCACCATACTTCACATCTCCAGAACTCGAGTCCAGCTAACCAGTTTCTCTGAACCCCTTCACATATGCTAGTTTGCTCACACTCCCACAGCTCGTCAAGTCCCAAAAAACCATTTACCTCCATTCACTGCCAGTGAACACACACACATGCCAGCTGGATTTCCAAGCACCTGGCACACAAAGCCTCCTTTACCCCCCTCCCCCCCCAACCTTTCCCAGAGCAACCCCTACCCTGTCTTCTCTCCATGACAGATTTATATACCCTTTCAATCATCCTGTTTTGCTCCAGCCTCTCTAATGCCAAAACTTCCTCAACAACCCCTCCTCAGCCCCCTGGATAATACTTTTAGTAACCTCCTCCAAATCTCCAAGCTATGAATTTCTGCATAATATTTTCACCACATATTGCCCTCAGACATCTCCACTGCAACATTCACAACCCATGCTTCACACCCATATAAGAGCATGATACTGCTATACTCTCATACATTCCCCTTTTTGCTTCCAAGGATGATGCTCTTTGTCTCCACAGGAAAAATATGTTAGAAAATTCTAGTCCTTCTGGAATGTCATATCTTGCAAAAGGAAACTCCAGTATTTAATGAAGTATTCAAGTGTTGAGTTAAAGGTACCCATGTACCTAATAATGTTAACTAAAAAACTCCCATTGAAAATTCTATAATACTTTTGCATTCCAGACATCAATGGGTGCCTCAGGAGTGTAACTCCTGTGACTGAGATTTCACTCTGTGCCAAAAAGTACTCATTTACTCCCACTTTTTGAAAACCCCACTATTCAGGTGCCAGCTTGGAGGAGATTAGTGACACAAGTAGTACTGCTGCATTCTCTGAAGTTACCATCTTGATACATCATGTAAAATTTTCTCTGTTTTTTACCTTTTTTTGTGATTTAAAAAATTCAAATTAATGATATGCTGGTGTTTATAAGTAAAATTCCTTAAATCCCCAAAACAGTAATTAGCATTCAGGAAGATGCAAACACTGTTTTACAACAACTAGATTTGGGTAATGTTTTTTCATAGAATGATAAATAAAAACTTAGATTGGAATAAAATTCTATTGTTATAATGTACGTTTTGTAAACAGGCCAGTTTTGTAAAGCCATAAAATGTGTGAAAGTACTGGAACAAACTAGCCTGAAATGCAGACTTCACCATTAAAAGTGTGCAAAATACTGTATTGTACACTTTTTTTTATGCTACCTAAACTTAAATTTTTTTTAGCACTTATCTACTTGCTAAAGAACTGAGTAAGTTTTTAAATTTGTCAAAAATTATTATTTCATTTTATCGCTACCATATACTATATTCATACATTATTGTCCAAATACAAACCTAGGAATGTGAGTGTGTCAGAGAGAAGCAGGGGCTGGTCCAAGGTCATCCAACAGCTGGAAGACTCGAATCTGCCTTCTACTACGTACTTTCTGTAGTATCTGGAGACATTAACATGCATGGTTTTTAAAGGTAATCTCTAATCTCTGGAAAATTATATCTAATGTTAATTGGGTACATTTAATACAAGAGAAAAATTGATACTAAACCTTTATGCCCAGAAAGATGATTGAAATTAAGTGAAATACATACTTACTTGGTATCAATTTAGTAATTTATACAGGAAAAGGGGGTTTTACTAGTCCCTTGTTCCTGACACTAAATGCCTTCTAAAACATGTATGGTTTTATGGAGAAAAGTTTTCTTCTCTACTTCCCCAGGGAGACGTAAGGAAAATTTTGTGTCAGAATAAGAACTGAAGAAAAAAAAAAAAAAATCAGATGAATGTGTATACACATACATATTTATGCACCAAACCCGCGTGTACATGTATACGTAGTAATAGCAAGATGTACCTGTTTATCTAATTTTTTTTTTAACACACCCGCCATATCCCAATGAGGTAGGGTGACATAACAAGAAAAATGAAAGTTCTTTTAAATTTAGTAATTTATACATGAGATGGGGTTACTACCTCCCTGCTCCAGGCATTTTAATTGCTCTTACGGCATGCGTGGCTCAGAGGAAGAATTCTGTTCCACGTCCCCCTGGAGATAAAAGGAAATAAAAACAAAAACTATTAAGAACACAGAAGAAAACCCAGATGGGTAAGTATATACAGGAGGGCCCCGCCCTTTTTGGCGTTTCGCTTTACGGCGTTTCTGCTAATACGGACATTTCAAATTATGACCAAAACTCGCTATACGGCTCCCCCACCTGTCTTTTAATACGGGCACAGCGGCCCCACCGCGTTTGTTTCCCTTCTCCCTGAGCACATCTCCTTATTATGTCTGGAAACTTTCCAAAATTCAAGTGTTTTAAAGTTATTTTATATTTATATGTTTGTACTTGAAATTAAACTTGTGTACACCTGTACCTAAATAAACTTACACACTGTGCTGGCATGTAGGTACACATTTAAAATCACCTAAGAGTCTCTCTACTCTTTATGCAATAATAATAATAATAATAATAAATAATAATAATAATAGTAATAATAATAATCTCTTGGGCGCATTAATGTTCGCATATTACGTTAATATAGACATTTCCCTTAATCTATCTATGATATTTTTTTCAAAATTATATAAGAAAACACATTATGTAACACACAAACATGATACATGCACCCAGTATAAAAATTTTTTACAAATATATACGAGATGTTTACCAAACGGTTTGTAAAAAGTGTCGGAAGAATTACGTTTTCTCTAGCCCGTCACCTGTTACTAGGGATAACTGTAGAAAAATATTCCTTTCGTATGCCTTCACTTTATAGCTATAATTCTGTACTAACTTGTACACAGTGAAGAGTATTTGTTTCGTGATTTAAATTTTTATAATAATAATAAAAATAATATAAGGTAAAAGTTTCACAAACTCTTACAAATGTACATGAATGAACTAAAACTGGACACGTATTAATACCGTCTATTTCGCCTGACCGGTGGGTCGTCCACAACCTGTTCAGTTTGTTTACGCTGTCTGAGCTCGGTGTATCATTAAATGTTGTATATTACGTTAATATACACATTTCATTAATCCATCCGTGATTTTTTTTTCAAAATTATATAATAAACACGATACATAACATAAATACATAACAACATTTTGTGTTTGAGAACCTAGGATAACCCAAAAAAGTCAGAGTGACTTACTTCCATTGCCTTCACTCAGAGAATCATTTCTTCTCAAAATGATGTTACCGAGAATGGGAGTGTTCTTTTTTATTTATTCTACCGTATCAATGTAGAGACAAAACCCGTAAAACAATGTAACTTGTACACAAACCAGACGTGTACCTGTTTACAAAACTTACCTTCCTGGTTTTGTTACATAACTCTGCTGTCCTCTCTCATGCACTCATTCTTTCTCTCTGGTATGGTAGCCTGGCTGACCACACTGATATTTTACAATAAATACTACTCATCTCACCCTATATTTAAGGGAAGTAATGAGTGAACTGTATATACATTTTATCGCTCTGGGGTGCTTAAATATCTAGAATAGTATGTGTGGGTGGGGTGGCCTGGTATGGTACTGGCTGCACCATACATACCACACTTGATTTCTTTTCAATAAAACTACTTGTCTCACCCTAGATTAAGACTATAAAAATTTTAAGGTAAGTAATGATGCACTGTGTGGCATTGTACTTTTTTATTGTTTTTTGATGCCTGGTTCTATTGCTAACATATATATGTTAGTGTTTAAACTTGTTATCTAGTGTTTGTATGCATTTGTAAGTGGAAAAAAAGGTGTTCCACTTACGGCGGTTTCCGCTTTACGGCGGTAGCCTGGAACCTAACCCGCCGTATAAGTGGGGCCCTCCTGTATGTGCATGTATATGCATGTGTTGTGTGACCCATGTCTAAGCAGAAGTAGTAAGACATACCCGGTATCCAGCACGTTTATGAGACAGAAAAAAAAAAAACACCAGCAATCCTACAATTGCTTGGAGATTAGATGTAGGGTTACCGAAAATGGTTGGACATACAGAGAGGATGAAACACAACATGATGACTAAAGGGATATAAATATGGGAAAGAGTGAGAGAGTAGTGAGGGTCATCCCAGGAAGGGTTGAAGGAAGGGGGAAGGGAGGTTTTGAGTTTAGGGGTTGGACATCCAGCAAGCTTGTGTGTGTTTTAGGAGTGGAAGCCAATAGTTTTTATTATTTGGCTTGCTGCTGGAGTGTGAGAAGGGTAAGATTAATGAAGGGATTTAGGAAAAACCCAAATTTGCCAAACATGAGTACTGGAGGCTATAAGTACAGTTGCAGTTTGAAAGGGTATCAGAGATGTGATGTTGGGACACTTTTGGCCCGGATAGCTATTTATGAATGTGGTTTAAAGTGCTACTTACTTTTGGAGCACCCTACCTTGATGGGTTAAAAAAAAAAATATTTGGTAATGAATTAGAAATGAAAGGATAATAAGACGATATGAACTATTTAGGAGAATAGACACTATGGTGATTACTGAGATATTTAAACAAGTGATATTTATCACTGAAATGAATTTGTGTGTTAATAAATTTCACTTTTCATCAAACCACAATTATTTTTAGAAATAATCTCAAGGAAAAGCTTTGAGTAATACAGGAGTATTTTTCTCTTTCTTCTTCTTCTTCTTTTCAACAAACTGGCCGTTTTCCCACCGAGGCAGGGTGGCCCAAAAAAAAAACAAAAGTTTCTCTTTTCAAATTTAGTAATTTATACGGAGAAGGGGTTACTAGCCCCTTGCTCCCGGCATTTTAGTCGCTTCTTACAACACGCATGGCTTACGGAGGAAGAATTCTGTTCCACTTCCCCATGGAGATAAGAGGAAATAAACAAGAACAAGAACTAGAAAAAAAATATCAGAAAACCCAGAGGGGTTGTGTATATTTTTTGCTTGTACATGTATGTGTCCTAGGTAGTAGGTTGGTGAACAGCAACCGCCCAGGGAGGTACTACCGTCCTGCCAAGTGAGTGTACAATGAAAACCTGTAATTGTTTTACATGATGGTAGGATTGCTGGTGTCTTTTTTCTGGGCTCTAAACATGCAAGATTTCAGGTATGTCTTGCTACTTCTACTTGCACTTAGGTCACACTACACATTTCATATACAAGCATATTATATACACACCCCCCTGGGTATTCTTTTATTTTCTTTCTAGTTCTTGTTCTTGTTTTTTTTCCTCTTATCTCCATGGGGAAGTGGAACAGAATTCTTCCTCCGTAAGCCAAAGCGTGTTGTAAGAGGCGACTAAAATGCCCGGGGGCAAGGGGCTAGTAACCCCCTTTTCCCATATAAATTACTAAATTTAAAAGAGAAACTTTCGTTTTTCTTTTTGGGCCACCCTGCCTTGGGGGATATGGCCGGTGTGTTGAAAGAAAGAAAAGACATGTATGTGTACTGTGACCTAAGTGTAAGTAGAAGTAGCAAATGTACCTGAAATCTTGCATGTTTATGAGACAGAAAAAAGACACCAGGAATCCTACCATCATGTAAAACAATTACAGGCTTTCGTTTTAACAATCACTTGGCAGGACGGGAAAACCTCCCTGGGCGCTTGCTGTCTACCAACCCACTACCTAGAATTTTTTTTCTTTACCTTTGTCTTTTACAATGGATAATCAAGTGCCAATTTCATGTTACCCAAAAATTTACTCAGTGGCCACTTATTAAATACACCTGTACACCTACTCGTTAATGTCCTTATCAACCAATTTACGTGGCAGTAACTCAATTCCTAAAAGCATGCAGACATGGTCAGGAGGGTTTAGTTGTTCTTCAGCCCGAACATCAGAAGGGGAAAGAAATGTGATCTAAGTGACTTTGACCGGTGTAATGATTGTTAGTATCAGTGGTCGTTTGAATATTTCAGAAACTGC